GGTTCAAGTCTCAGCTGAGCCAGTGGGGGCTACATGACCTTCGGCGAGTTGCTCACTCTCTCTCCATGCCTCAGTTTCCTCACCTGTAAAATGGAAATGATGATGGTGCCTTCCTTGGGAGCTGTTGTATAGTTTAAGTGAGTTAGCCCATGCAAAGTGATTGGAGCAGAGCCTGGCACAGAGTCGGTACCCTGCAAGGACGGGTGACTCTTATCTCCCTGACCACCGGAAATTCTCTCCATGGGCCTCCCCACTCACCCAAATACACTGTCTTTTAAGAAGCTGAGGCAAATACTCTACCTTCCATTACTCTGCTTGTAAAGTCAATTTCAACACACCTATTTTCTGAGAGTTTATATTATCTTGTGCTCCAGGAAATCCAGGCTGAATAAGCCCCAGCCTTGCCTTTCAGATCACAGCCCATGTGAGGAAACAGACATTCCAACAAAGATCATCACTGGACTTTGGCAAAAACTGGGAATTGGCATTACCCGTTAAGTGGCTTCCACATTAAGACTTTTTGCCTTACTGTCCTAATACTCCTAAAGTACTTCAACATCCAGTAATATTCTCAGTCAAGGTGTTTGCCTTGTGTCCCATGAAGTATTCCACACATATATGCTCTGACTTGTTCAAATGGATGGGAAGGAACCCATTCTGGGGCTGGGCCTTCAAATTCTGGCCCCCACCACTCTACCCCAAAAGCCATCTTTAACCTGCAGGGATATGGGAGCTGCATATCAACTTGTGGTGGATCAGGGTGTTCAAGCATCTCTAGCAGAAAATTCCCAGGGCCTGGGAAGCTGGGTTTCTGGTCTGGCATGACTTTGGACTATGATATTTATTGCTTATTATTTATTATGATATTTATTGCTTCACATACACAATATACAGAAGGATATCTTTCATATAGAGACTAGTGTAGAAGTAATAAAAATAACTTAAGTGGACATTCAGTATGACTTATCCATGTGCCAGGGACTAGATTAAGTACTTTACCTATTTCATACCATCCTCCCAACAGCCCTAAGAGGCAGGTATCTCACTTTCAGTTGAAGAAAGTGACACGAAAGAGGCCCCAGTGGAGCAAGGCAGAGGCACCCCAAACTGGCCCTCTGAAAATCCAGAAAGGCACTGGTGGAAGCCATTTTTCACCCTTCCACAGTATTTGAATGGCTGGTTCCAAGAATAAATTTTCAGATCCACTCAAAAGGAAAGGAAAAAGCCCTGAATCAAAAGAGAAAGCCCCCATCCTAAAAATAGCCTATTCAGACACTGTCATCCCACGGATTCCAGTCTCATCTAGATCCCATCGGTCCTCTAAGATTTCCAACTTCTCCAAAAGCATAAAACCAGCATGTTCAAAAACTAACACAAAATGTAAAATCAACTGACTTTTTCCTTCTAGAGTTAATACTGAAGGTTTGCAGAAATGCATTGCTTCTAGGAAGAAGGAGAGGGACCTAAAAAAAAAAAAAAACATAACCCATGCTGACAGAGGAGGGAGGAGAGCTGAGATCCATTATATTTTTAAACCCTTAACACACTGATTTCTATTACAATCCCTGCATTGTCAAATCCAAGCAAACAGAGGCTCAGAGGAACACTCAGGCATTCAGAGATTCAGGGTTTGGTTTGGGTAACTATTGGTTAAAAAGAAAAGATGCACCAGACACACACTTTCCAACATGAACTTTGCCATCATTCCACCCCAGAGACAACCAGAACTAGTTTGTAGGATCTCTCTCACTCCCTCCAACTCAAGTGCAAGGAACGACCACTACAGCTCAGATTCAGAATGCTGAGATCAAGATTTTCAGTAAACCTCAGGGCTTCCCTGGTGGTCCAGTGGTTAAGAATCTGCCTTGCAATGCAAGATACACAGGTTCAATTCCTGGTCCAGGAAGATGCCACATGCCATGGAGCAACTAAGCCTGTGTGCCACAACTACTGAGCCAGCACTCCAGAGTCCACAAGCCACAACTACTGAAGCCTGAGTGCCGAGAGCCCATGCTCTGCAACCAGAGAAGACATCACAATGAGAAGCCCGCACACGACAATGAAGAACAGCCCCCATTCACCTCAACCAGAGAAAGCCCGAGTGCGGCAACAAAGACCCCACCACAGCCAAAAATAAATGAATAAATCTTAGGGGGAAAAAAAGATTCCTGTTAAACCTAAAATGATGCATTCAATGGCTGGCTTAAAAATAGTTTGGGGTCCCAAAAAAGGATCCTAAAAAGTGATGAGCGATCACAATAATTAAAATCATTCTGATTGCCAGAGTCTCTGTGAAAACTCTTTCATTCAGCTCCACCTCTGAACATTTCATTCAGTTTAGTGGCAAGAGATCTGGGGTCAATTCTTTCCAACACAGTACAGCAGCATCTGCAATTTCCTCAGTGGTGTGAAGAGTGAGTAACAGCACAGGTAATCAATGTGTGTAAACAAAAACCTGTGATGCTGAAACAGGGAGGGGGAAGAGCAGAAAATCTCGGAGAAACCCCAGGTCTCTGGTGGCAATGGTGGCCTCTCCAGAAAAATGTCCCCCTCCCACCTCCAAATGAATTTTATAACGATTATAAGTTATCAAAACTGCAGGGGCTTCTAAGTAATGTCAGCATTGCATCTTTTCTGAATTTCTAATGATGATGATCCAATACATCCAGGGTCACCTGTGCCCAACAGGTGGGGTGAATTTCTAAAATGATGTTGTAGGTTTCACCCATAGTGTCCCAGGCTGAATAAATAAGTCCAACAGCAAGACCATATTATAAGATGAAAGGAAATCTTTCTGATTCCATTCCCAAATCACCATGGAAAGGGTACTGATCCATACCACCCACCCACCAACAGGAATACTTCAATTACATCGTCCAGATAAGTAATACATGGTTTTGTTTGCATGGACACTTTAATGAGGATCTTGTTGAGCATCTGTTACGGGCATGGACAGAAGCTCATTTTATGCTCTAGAGATGTATTTTGAACTATCAAAGGTGAAACAGCATTATCGTCAAATACAGTGAGCAATATAAACACAATCTGAGAGAAAGGATCATGAGTAAATTAAATCCACAAATATTTATCGAGTGCCTGGGCCTTAATACTGAGATGCCCCTGTCAGAGAGCTCCCTTAACCGAGCCTTCTGTGAGAAGCAAAAAGATGCAATTACAGTCTTTCTGAAAAATAGGCAATTAATCACACACTGCTTCAGATTAACTGCAACGCCTGAGAGCCCCCACATCATTTTGCCTTTGCCCCTGAAATCTCATTCCCTCAAGCCCTTCCCGGTTTTTCAGATCACTGGTTAGCACCCCAAGCAAGCTTTCTTCCTGATCTGCCTAGCCCACTGGTGACCAGAACTGGAACTCCCCACGCACCTCTGTCCAGTCCAACGGGTGACCTTCAGTGCGCTGTGTGTGTCAAGGTTAAGCTGCCCACTAACTATGCATCCTTTAACAGCAGGCCTCCAATTCTGCCCCGCTCTTCGATGCCAGTGCAAAACCTCCCAGCCCTGCTGGGCCGTTTCAAACCATCCGATGGCACATTCAACAGCTAGTGAGCTTTCTGCCTCTTCTCCCATGATCCAGATTGCTTCGGGGCTGCACAGCAAATTAGCCAACAAGGTACAGCCACCACTACCGAAAAGCCCGAGTTTTAATGCAAGCCCCCAGGGAGGGAGGAAAGAAGGGTCACCTCGGTCTCTTTCAACCCAAACAGCTCTTCAAATTCTACTGCAGCCCACAGTACTGCAGCCCCTACGTCTCATCAAGTGCCCAGTTACCCCCCAGATGTCTAAAATCTTTTCAGGAATGTTACTGTCAAAATAGCACCCATGGGGAGACACCATCCAAGAACCCACATGACATCCCTTCAAATCGATATTGGAGCTACAAGCAACAAATCGGGAATAAATGCTGCCAAGATAAAATCAAATTCTGTTTGTCTTCTAAGTGGGCAGCCACTGATCACCCAACATTACTCCAAGAGCCTCCAAGTGAAGGAGCTGGGGCTTCAGGGTGCATAACACAATCTGGTTCAAGACCTTCCAGGGGAACTCACACCCCTGAACACAAAATGTCATCGGATCATGAGAACGAAGCAAGACACTGAGCTCTGACATCCACAGAAGCTACTGCATTTCTGACAAATATCCAGGAGGCTGGAAGCCAGGGGACCCCCCCTCCAGCTGTCTCCAACTGCCAAGCGCTGGACTAACACATTTTTCATTAGCTTTTTCAAGAATGGAGAAAGATCAATCGTGTCAAGAGGCTGACAGTGATATTTATACTTCCATTTCCTAGTCTCCTGGTCTGTTCTCTCCCCGGTGAAGCCCAGTTTCTGTGAATCAATGACTCGGCTACATCACACGCCTGCCCGGTGGCTCACAGTAACGGGGCTCCCTCTGGCCACCAGTGCTTTGCCGGCTCAGCTGGCAGATCCTGGATCTTGCTGCAGACTTTGAGCCGAGCTGAGCGCCATCCCTCCGTCAGGGCTTTGGTACAGCCACTTGCAGCTCAGCTAACCCCATCAGGAAACCCTTACCTCATGAGAAACAGATTTTAGGATTCTTTCAACCCTGCCAAGATAGCAACCTCCATCTACCCACCTGAGAGACAGAGGGATACACAGATGGATAAACAGACAGCTCAGCTCAGCCCTGTACATTTCTCCCTTCACCGAAGATCTACACTGCTAGGTATCTCCCACTGCCTCCTCCCCTCTAAAGAAGACCAAAGACTGAAAAACTAACCCAAAGTACCCAATTGACAATTACGATGCTATGAACAGGAAGAGGTACCTTTAAACACAGGAAAATGAGAACACGAACAGTCTATCCCACCAAAGCCCAACCAGGTAAATTGCTCTTCAAATGCAGGCTGATTAACAGTTTTCCTCCACCACACTCCCCCCACCCTGCCGCCACCACCACCACCTTTGGGCTCTATGCCTTGTATCAATGCAGGTCCCTTAGAAAAGTCAAAATTTCACTTACTCAGATCTACCAAGAATTCCCAGTGCCTTGCTATACGAAAACCCCACAAACGGCAGTTCTTCGCCCGAGAAACCTGAGGGGTTCAGCTGGCACGGAGAGGATGAAACCCACGAATTCTTCTCTGGTTCATCAAAATTGGAGGTGTCATCATCAGACTTGAGGGTGGGAACGAAGGGGGGAGGAGCTGGTTAAAGAAAAAACAAGAAGAAGGGGGTGGGGGGGAGAGAAAAATTCAGATGGATTCAACACTGTTGCGGAGAAGAAAATCGTCTCACTCCTTCGGCGTTCCTGATGGCACTGCAGCGCCTGCTTTCAATCTCGCTCACACACAGGCAGACCCAGCCTCTGCTCCGCTTTACAGCAACAAGAGCTTAACCCCTTCCCTGCCAACATGGCCACCAACCCGCAGACGGGCTGCCTTTCCTGCCGGGGGAAACTGAAGGGTGAACTCAAACAGGTCACTTGGTAGAACAGAAAGAAAGCACTTCTTGGGGAACTCGTTGCTGATTATTTCCAGAAGGCTGCTACGGAGCGTCAGCTGGCTAGTGCTGGCATGCCAGATGAACCTAAACCTATTTATTTCCTCTTCCAGATAGATCTAAATCGTTCACACTTAGTGCTAATCACTGGGATAAGGTAGAGTTTCTACATTTCATGGATTAGCCAGAGTGAGAGGAAGGAGGGGCAGGAGAGAGGGTTTGAGAGGTATGTAACTCGTGTGAGGAGAGCACTGCAGTCTAGCCCATTCATATCCGGATGAGTATACTCACAGCTCTTATGGACCACTTTTTTTTTTTAAGTTCATTATCCCTCCTCCCCAACTCGATCATGCCCCATGAATCCACCGCAGTTTCATCAGCATAATGAAATGCCAGCCAAATAAAGTTCTTCCCGGTGATGTACAGCACCTCTGCGTGCTGACGGTGTGGATGGACAGCTGCGTCCTACCTCGTTAAGGCATGACTCCCAGCTAGGAACGTCCTACATCTTCTCCGCTTCCTGCGGACCTACTAAGCTCTCTCAGTCAGGGAGGTGGACACTGGTCCATCAGTCACCAGGAGGCTGCCCATTGTGGTGGGCTCCTGGGGGTGCAGCCGGCCAGAAGCGTTACCATGGCTGCAGGCTGAAGCGTCTGTGGTAGGCAGGCTGGGTGAGCAGGCGAGCTGGGCATCACATCCCCCGCAGTGCAGGCTTCATGCTCCCCGCTCTGTGCGTGCTCTGGCGGTAACCCCACCTGGCTGCCTGCGTGGCAGGGGCCAATGCTGATCTGAGTGACAGAGCAGCATGAGTCACGGCCAGAGCTCTCGAGAGCGCCCCCTAGGACAGTTGTCACAGCCCTTCCCTGGACCAGGCTTCTTTTTTAACTCCTTGTTTTCTAGATAAAGCTCAGTGCCAGATAGGAGCAGCAGTCTGTTTTCCACTTACAGACTCCAAAGAATCTGGCTGTTTCCAAAGTTCCCCAGTGACAACAACAACATCGGAAGCAGCAGGCACCATCGGGAAGGAGATGGAGTAGTGAAGGGATGTGGAGTGGGGAGGAGATGAAGACAGAATGAGGAGGTCTGGCAGCTCCCAGGAAATGCAAAAAGAACATTCTCAGAGCTTCAGGTGCACTGAGATGTGGTAGGAGACTGAAAACGTAACATGTGCACTTCCAGAAAATTATTTAACACCACCAAGCTCTTAGAGAATTTAAATCTTCCCTGTTAATGTCAGAACCTACTTGCTTAACACTTTGAAAATTAGGTGATGGAAAGAAAAATCATTGAATGCTTCAGCCTCCCTCCCATATGTACTTTCCATCAACATGGGCTCAAATCCAATTGGATTTCCATTACCCAATATCTTTTTTTCAAGGGAAAAAAAAAAACACATACAAAATACTTTTTAATGGAAATTATATTTCATGAGGACAAAAAAGTGTCCCATCCCAAAATAAGGAAACTCAGATAAAGACTGAGGAAATATATGGAGAGAGATTTGTAGATGATATTAATATGGAGGCATCATGGTTGGTGGCACACACTTTGACTCAGTCAGTTCAGTTGCTCAGTCGTGTCCGACTCTTTGAGACCCCATGAATCGTAGCACGCCAGGCCTCCCTGTCCATCACCAACTCCCGGAGTTTACTCAAACTCATGCCCATCGAGTCAGTGATGCCATCCAGCCATCTCATCCTCTGTCGTCCCCTTCTCCTCCTGCCCTCAATCCCTCCCAGCATCAGGGTCTTTTCCAATGAGTCAACTCTTCGCATGAGGTGGCCAAAGTATTGGAGTTTCAGCATACTTTGACTAAGTGGGTTCAAACCCCAGCTCTACCACTAACCAGCACTGTGACCTTGGGAAAAAAAGTCCCTTAGCCTCTCTGACCCTCAGTTTCAACATAGAGAAAACTCCCTCAAAGGGCTGCTAGGAGGTTTAAGGGAAAGAAATCTATATAAAGTGTTACTGGCACGGTTTTTTGTATGTAATAAACACTCCATACAGACTACCTGCTGTTATTATTGCCCACATGACACAGATATTTGTGACAGACCCCATGGTACAAGGCTAGTGGGAAATAGCAGAATCTGTGTTGAGTTTGCTTCTCTCTGCCCAAGGCATGGACACACTCACACATGTTTGTGTTCATCATTTCATCTCATTCTTAGCAGAAGTTTAATTCCCTTTCTACTATATACTAATTTATCTTTGAGAGACTGAAATAGAATTTCTGAGTGAGGAGTATGATTAATATAGGGGCAGGAGCCACCCTCTGTGAAACAATTACAACTGAGAAATTCTGTACTATGAAATAAGATCCCTCTTTAAACTCCATCAGGCTCAAGGCTAGTCTGTGTAGTTAAGATTAGATCAAGGGCCAGGGAAGCTTCAATATGAGGGAGAAGTCAACATGAAATACCCCTGCTGGTAACAGGTGAGAAATTCACAGGACAGATGAAAAACCAAGAACGTTAGCCTTTAGACAGGTAGTCGGTTGGCTAAAACGGGAAATGCTGAAAAGTGGGGCTTCTGGGAGCCACATTTGGACAGGGAAAAGTATCACAGCCTCAAGCCAAAGAGAAGTGGGAGAAATGGAAATTCTCAACACACCAGAAAATGATGGATGTTCACCCTTGTCCAGAGCCCTTTGGGGGGAAAGAAACAGTATGGCTATTAAAACCGTAGCCCCAGGGAGGGTTTCTGTATTTACAGTACCCTACATGGTGTGGGAACTGTAAGCCAAGAAATTATCACCAGTATTGGTCCACGATCCCTTAGGGTACTGGCAGATTACATGGAGAAATATTTGTAGGGCCACATTCACAACCCAGGACACAACCCAGAAGGCAAAATTCCTCCTCTCTCTCTTTCTTTCCCATACATACATACATACACACACACACACACATCCCCCACATACTCTCTCAACTAGAAATGAATCCACAATAAAAAAGTAAATATCAATAACTACACATAACAAGGAAAAAGAAACCACCCAAAATACCATGAAGGAGCATCAGAAGATACAAGAAATGGGAGAATTAACCCCCCAAAAACCGAAGATAAGAGAACAATCTAAAATGGACCACAAAATAAATTTTCATTCATTACCAAGATAAATAAGCAAAAATTCTAATAAAAGAACAAGATATGCTGAAGAAAAGACAAAGCACATTTGAAAAGAACCAAATGGAACTTCTAAAAATGAAAAATATGATTGCTGAATTTAAAGTTTAAAACTGTTAAACAGACACAGCTAAAGAGAAAATTAGTGAACTAGCAGTAGGACCTGAGGAAATCACAAGGAACCATGTTTCATAGGTGTGATCTGTAGACTGACAGCATCATCAGGGAGTTGGTTAGAAATAAAGAATCACAGGCCTTACACCATGACTCATGAATGAACACTTGCATTCTAACAAGAACCCCAAGTGATCTGCAAGAACACGACAGTTGGAAAAGTGCTCATATAAAATGCAATACACAGAGACAAAGAGACAGGAGGAAAAGAACGAAAAGGTTCAATGCACCTCTAATATGAGCATCAGAAAGAACAGAGAACTAGCTCAAAATCTGGATGACAGATTTTAAAAGACTGTGTAAGCTGGAGACTACCAAGTATATGACCACATCTATATCAGACTTCCCTGGTGGCTCAGTGGTAAAGAGTCCACCTGCAAAGCGGGAAACCTGGGTTTGATCCCTGGGTGGGGAAGAGCCCCTGGAGAAGAGAATGGCAACCCACTCCAGTATTCTTGCCTGGGGAATCCACATGGACAGAGGAGCCTGGCAAGCTGCAGTCCACGGAGTCGCAAAGAGTCGGACACGACTGAGCGACTAAGCACACACACATACTGGGGGGAGGGGCTAATTCTCCTCTTTCTTATACCTATTGGAAAAAGTCCCTTTTTTTTTGATCCTCATACAAAATGATTTTGTTGCTTTATAAAGGTATTCATTGGTCAGTGAAATCACTGGATTTGCATCTACATTGATGGAAGTATACAATATACCTAAGACCACAGCACAGTGCCAGGCACTGAGCAGGTACACAATAAATACATGCTGAATAGATACATAATTAAACAATTAGAAAATAACTCTTGCAAAGAGAGCACCTGGCATAATACAGGCAGTGAAGAAGCTACTGCATGTTTGAGTTAAATGAAGAGGCTTTAAAAGTAGAGATTGTTCTGTCTGAAAAATATGTTAATGAGTGCTTATATTAATATTTCCTGACAGAGCAATCATCAATTCACCCCCACTGCCCATGCTCACTACATTCAATAGTGGCCAATAAGAGGTCCTATATTAAGATCTGTTTGTTGATAAAAGCCACTGAAACAACAGGATGAAGTTTTCCCTATGTATTTTTTAAATAGGTCAGCCTACGCTTGAGATCGCATCAGGGCACATTCTCTTTAGTGGCAGGGGCTACACAAGTACGTTCTGGAGGCCCCTCCCACTGCCACCCAGTTATAAGATGGCAGAACAAGGCTTTTAGAAACAAAAAGCTATTTTAAGAACTGTAGTTAATCTCTCTCCTATAAATCCTCTTTTTAAAAACTTGACATTCATTAGAAGCTGGGGGCAGGGTGTATTGCCTTCAAAAACATTCACGAATTTAAAAAGAAAAGAAAAACAAGAAAACATAAATGGATTCATCCCCTTGACCCTACTTCTTTCTAACACATCCCACTGA